CCCTCCCCCTCCCCGAACCGTCGCCCCCAGCCCCTACCAGCTCGGCGGCGAGCCTGGCCGGCCGTCCGGAATCGAAAAGAGAGCCGACACTGGGAAGTTTTGGGAGAGGGAGGGACGGGCCTTAAAGGGACCACGACCTCTTTTCAGCCTGGAAAAAAAAATGTGGGGGCTGGGGGGGCAGACCGAGAATTGCTCCGCAGTTGAATGGAGGAAACAACGCAAAAGGAATGGGGAGACTAGAGCTTCTGTGTTCGAGCTCTGTGTGCTTTTTCCCCAAACACTCCCCCGCAACGTCTTAAACCCCCAGGGCTCACAGAAAGTCGGGCAGTTGTTTGGGAATGCTGCCTCATTGCTCCTAGTCGGCCAAGTGTTCTCTTGGTTGAGATAAATGTTGGGGTGCACATTGCACAAATGGGGAAGTGGGCTCAGGGAACACAAGCGACTAGCCCAGGATCCCACAGCTTGTAAGTGGCATAGCTGGATTTGTGCGCCTCCAAAGACATACTGCACTACAGTGCCTGTTACAGTTATGAACGGGGCTGCATTATGCAATGGAGGTTTAAGGGCACAGGCCCTGGGGACAGGCTGCGGGGGGTTCGACTATGGAGGCCATACTTACTAGCTCTGTGGCTTTGGGAAAGTAATTTATTCTTTTTGGGCCTCTTGTTTCCTCATCCAACAGCAGGGTGGTAATACCATCTGCCTCATAGAGCGGTCTTGAGTGCTGCTTAGAAGTCTAGAGGCAGAGGGGACATCAGTGGCTTACCCCCATTTCACAGATAAGGTACAACTGAGGCCCAGGTAGGGGAAAGACCAGTTGAAAGTTACCGCAGCTGGGCAGCCTCTGAAAGCAAGTTGGTCTCCTTAACATCCCAAATAATTTGACCCTTGTAGGTCCATCTAAATCCATACACAACACTTCCCACTTTTCTCAACGTGGCAAAAACACTGGCTTTCCTTCTGTTGGTCAAATACCCAAAGCTCATTATGGGCTTTGCACTGGCTGTTCCCTCTGCCTAGAGTACTCTTCTCCCAGATCTTTGGTCCTCATCTGACAGACCGTGACTCAAATGTCACCTTCTGACCACTCCAGCCTAGTTGGCCCCATACACAGTTATAATCTTGGCTCCTCGTTTATCTCCCTCTTTGCTCTTCTTGCCACTTGCAAATATCTTGTTTAGTTTCTGTCTCCTCACTAGACTCTGGATTCTTTGGAGGCCGGAGGTGGGTATGTTTTCATCCCTCTGAAGACCTCTGGGGTCATTCCTTCAACAGGTTTATTGAGCCAATGTGTTTTGGGGCACCTGGGATGAAATGGTGACCAAAATAAGGGGAAAAAAACATCCATTTGGGGATTACGTTCTAGAGAAAGAGATGGACAATACATAAGTAAAATGTATCTGATGGTGAAGACTGGTAAATCTAAAGCTCCACCTATCACATGCCTGCTTCTGTGCAGTGGATGTAGATAGAGAAAAATATGCACACATGTTAACTGAGACCACCTTAAATTCATGCACACTTGGAGTGGACCCACAATGCTGCCCAGCAAATTCGCCCGTGTCCCTCATCTTGACTTTCCCAGATGACATATCAAACCTCCTCAAACCTCTGGCAGCTCTTTCCTCATCCTCGCTCTCAGCAGTGACCTTGTTTCCTGAGAACCAGAGCTACCTTCCTCCACATCTGCCTTCCTCCCGCATCTTTCCCACCCACTCCAACTTCCCACCTGTGACTGGGGGAGCCAGCCATGTTCCCATCCGCTGGGCTTCTTTTTTCCCTATGCATATTCTCATTTTACTCTTACCCCATTCAAGAAATTGGTCTCCTGTGGGCTTAGGGTCTCAGGAGAGAATGTGATAGGCCGGAAAGCAGAAATAGGCCAGGTTTCTTTTTATTCTTTTAAAGTCTCTTCGGGGCTCCAAGCGGAAATAGCTATGTGGTCTATGGGGCCTCAGATTGAAAAATCAGATGCTTTTAGGGGCCAATGGGGAAAGCCAGTCAGTAGAGGAAAAATTCTCAATTGCATTACACAGTTGTGACATGTTTCCAGCTTTACTGAGGTATAACTGACATACAAGAAACCACACATATTTAAAATATACAAGTTGATGAGTTTTGATTTATGAATAAACCTGTGAAACCACTACCACAATCAAGATAATGACCATACGACAATGAACACATCCATCGTCCCCAAGTTTCCTTATGCCTCTTGGTTACCACTCTATCCCTCACCCCTCCACACACACGTCCCCAAACAACCACTGATCTGCTCTCTCTCACTATTAGATAGTTTGCATTTTCTAGAAGGAAATTATGTAGTATGTACTCTCATGTCTGGCTTTTTTCATTTAGCATAATTATTTTGAGATTTATACGTGTTGAACAAGAACTCATTCTTTTTATTTCTGAGTACTATTCCATTGCATGGAATTGTTTAAGTCACCACGATTTGTTTACCGAGTCACCCATTGATGGACATTGGGTTGTTTCCAGTTTGGGGCAATTACAAATAAAGGCGATATGAACGATGGTGTACCAGTCTTTGTGTGGACATTTCATTTCTCCAGCATGTAGATTTAGGAGTGGGATGCATGATCACATGCGCGGTATTTAAAATTTTAAGAAACTGCCAGGCTATTTTCCAAAGCGGTTGGATCATAGTGTCATTTAATAATAATAATAAGAAGAATATAAACTGGTTGCAAATTCAGTCCTTATTTTAATTAATTCATTCCTTCAACAAATATTTGCTGGGAACTGCTCTGTGCCAGGCCCTGATCTAGGCACTGGCAATTCAGCAGTGAACAAGGCACACAAAATTCCCGCCCTTGGGAGCTGAGGTTTATCT